AAAAAAAGAATGAGGATTTCTACAAAACTAGATATTTAGTGTAGTCTTAGTGGGTGAGATAACGGTTTTCGCGGAGGAAGCAAAAAAATATTTTTTTAAATATATTAAAATAAAGAACATTTTCTGGAAATTTCTGCTGCTGCATAATTAAAATTTTTATTTAAGGGAAATAAAAAGCAAGGAGGTCACATTAGAAAGATAAAATTAAGCCAAAGTAGATAAAAAGCATTTTATATGCTTTAATTATTTTTCCCATCAAACATTACGCATAGGCATAGCACACACACATTATATAACTTGAGCAGCACATGATTAAATCCCCTGCTTTCACGTACGATAAGCACAGGGCTCTATATCCAAGTTACTGCAATGGGACTACGGACTGTGTATTTCCCAGACACCCATGTCAAAGACCCGAAAGATGAGCTATCAGATTCAATGATTTGTCTTATTGCAGTGAAACTCACCTTGTATCTCAATTTCTGACCATGCATCTTAAAACTTAAAATGCTAGGCTTCACCCTGACTGATATTCCTTTGGGTTCTTGTACCTGCACTTTATAAGTACCGACTGGAGGATTTCCAACATTTGTGACAGTTCTTCTGTAGGTAATGGTAACATTATGGGCATCACTCTTGAAACGCATTGCAAAGGAAGGGTAGTTCAGATCTCCAGGTTGCATGGTTGTCCTTTTGGGGCATGTGAAATTACAATCAAATTTGGCTATCTGAGAAAAATTATACTTGAGGCTGCACAAGTAGAGCAAATACTCAAGAGGGTGGATGTCATATAGCAATCCTGGATCAGAAGCTTTCTGAATATCAACATGGCCTGAACCAATTGCAAAAGGTGTCGTAGGGCCACCATGAGAAACATCCTGAATTGGACTCCCGCTATTATCCAGATTATAAGCAGTTGTCTTGTCATCATCGTTAATTTAATTGCCGCCGGCGACCATTCTTTGTGCCTTGATATAAGCACTGCCGCTAGGCCACTAACATGAGGGCAAGCCATTGAAGTCCCTGATTCAAAATTGAATAGAACCCTTCTTTTGTCACTCTTGGCCACGCTGCTAATATGAAAATGCAGCCATCGTTGGTGCACGCTTTCCATATGCAGTTCCTTTGAAAGTTAGTGAAGCTGTAGGTGATTTTGTAGATTTCAAATAGCGTAATATGGCCTTTCCTGCCATGTGTCCCACAGAAGCTGCAGGAGACATGTAAGGAATAGCAAAAAGATCTGCACCTTCAAAGAGTAAGATGAGCGTGCCAGCTCCTCCTTCTGACTTCACTTGCTCTATTATTTGATATTCAGTAAGTCCCCCTCCTAGTTTACAAACAACCACCTTTCCTTTCACAAGCTCCGGGCCGAGTGACCCAGGTTTGCAATAATGAGCAGATTTTTTCCCAGCAGTTGGTCCATACACAATTGGCAATTCTTTTAGGTTGTGTTTGGGAACTTAAATTTGAATTTGATGAATGTAATTGAAATACATGTATTTAAAATACATGTATTTAAAATACATGTATTTTAAAATACATTGTTTGGATTGAATTAAAAAAAATGAATTTCAAATACATGTATTTTTAAATACATTGTTTGGATATTTTAAAATAATATGTATTTAAAATTGAATTTCTCTATTAAATTAAATCTTCTTCTAATTATTATTTAAATTTAATAAAATCAAAATTAACAATTTTAATCTTTCAAAATATTATTTAAATTATCTCAA